TTTTAAGTTTTAGTTATTTTGTATAATTTATTATTAGTTTTATTTTATAAATAAATTCTAAACTAATTACTAAAATCCATAAAAATACTTCATGATTTGGTGAATATATACATAAAAAGATTAATTAAAAGTCATGTGTGACTAATCTTTAAGGATTAATTGTTATTAAATCAATTTTCTAAAAATATAAAAAGAAAGAATACTATATTTGCGGGAAGTAACGCTTTTTTTTGGAAGAAAAACTAAAATTTTGTCATCAATTCTTTTCCAATAATTAACTAATTATATACATAGATGGGATGTGTTCATGAATCATTTGTCCTTTTTTTCCTATATATTTGGATTTTTCATTTATGTTTGATTGGTGAAATTGAATTAAATCACAAAAAATAATATTTATTGCATCTTATTGTTTTTCTTTACCATCTCACCAATTGCAATAAAATATATAAACAAAATTATCGTATATTTTTTTAACATAAATTAATATTTGCTGCATAATTTTATTCACCGATCATTACCTACTAATTTTATTACTGTTCATATCACATAAGTTATAGTTTTATATTTTTATTTTATATTTATTGACAATATCAAAAGTATTTAACTGTTTATATTCTTTCACATTTTCATCTTACTTGACAACATTTTTATAGGGATGCATATATATATATATGTCTAATTTTTAGATCATATACTTACTCAGTAGGACGCAATTTAAAATGAAAAAATGAAATAAATAAATAAAAATTGTGTGAGCTTTAAAACCATGTCAAATTTGGTAATGAAAGAAATTGAAAGGAGACAATGGTAAATGATGGTAAAACTATTTATGACACTTTCCAAATCAATTTTGTTACCAATATTTTTGTCTCAACCAAAATACAAAGTATAATACTGGGAAACGTAGGATTCCAAAGCTTGCGAGCCTGCCACTTAAGCTCAATACATTTTGAATTAATATATAGATGGATTATAAACAAAACATTTAAACCGAAAAAGACACTTATGGTGTGCTTGTTTCGATTTTGATTGACCGATTTTTTTTTTTACAATCTTTAACTTAAAATTCAGCCAAACTTTATTCAACTTAACTGTCATCAATGTAATTAATTAATACCACAATCATCTTCACACGTCACATCAATTTCCATTCACTATTCCTCAACTCGTATATTTTTAACAACCCATCATTTTCAACTATTTATCTTCTGCTTTTTACATAACAACAACTTTAATCATTACGTTTTTAAATATTATTTAACTAAAACACGAAATCTCACACAATTTTTTCACTGAATCAACTTTATTCAAAATAACAGACATCATCTAATAAATCAAGTCAATACCAAAATATTTTATAATAATCAATGAACCCCTAATAAGTACCTCATTTCTTTTCATAAAATTTGAAAAAAAAATAAAATAAAATATTTTTTTTTGGTACAGGAACTTTTCGGTTTCCGAATCTACAGGGGAACCGACTAATTCGGAATAGAGACGGCTAGGGGCCGACTAAAATAAAATATTTTTGCAACAATTTGAAGTGCACACAATTTCATCGTCAGCATTATGTAGTCAAAACCATCACCCCCCACAACCAAATCTCAACCAAACCAAGACCCTTCTCACTCTTCCACTCTCTCTCTCTCTCTAAAAACCATTTTTATTTTTCTTTAAAAAAAATATATATACATACAGCGATACGTACACAAATATAACAAAAGCACACGTAGCCCCAAAATTCATCTGAATTTGATTTCCTTTTACTCGATTTCGAAATCCCTAATCTCGCATAAAGCTCAGTTTTTGTTCTGTACTCAAATCGGCAAATCTATGCCGTTATCTAATTCCCTTATTGTGCCCAATCTTCTTTCTTGTTCCCCAATTCCTTGATTTGAGTTCGCCTGCGAAAAACCCTAGCTTTTGTTGTTCATTTGAAACCTAAGTTTTCAAAATCTTGAACCTCCCGGAAACCTCGCAACCTCAACTCATTGTCTGTTACGATTCGGTGTATTTTGTAGGGTTCCTAATCTTGATTGATCAGGTATGTTTTAATTTTTTTATTTTTTTTTTCAATTGTTGCACTGTTGGGGGTGTCCAGAATCTCTTTCACTGGTTGTTTGTTTTAATTTTTATGTGCTGAAAGTCGAAACCATTGGTGGGATTTTCTGCATTTTTGTTAAGTTTAGATGGGAGTTGGTTAAGTGGAAAAGTTAATGGTGCCCGTGCTTTTTGTCTGATTAGGTGTTTTAAGTAACTGCAGGAAAGTTGTTGAACTTTTGATGGTCTGTTAGAGTGAATCTTGAGTTTTTGTGTTTTGGGATTTTGTCGTTTGAGAAATTCGGATGATCGAGTGCCGTTTAAAGTAACCAATGTTCCTGGTTTCTGTGACAGACGGTGAATGATAATAGAATTTCATGCATTGGATTTATGTGATCCGATCACGTATAAATATCCCCGTGCCTGTCGGTTAGCGCAATGAATTATTTTCTTTTTTAGATATTTAAGTTCAAACTGGGCTGGATGCTAATAAATTGAATATGTAAAGAGAAAGAATTGTCAGGTTCGATATCGTTCCAGCCAATCAATTTCAAAGCCCTAGGCGGAACTTTACAATGGGGCCTTTACTGTAAATAATATTCAATGTAAACCATTGTAAATTTTTTTGAAACCATTACATTTCATTTTAAGTTTGTTTTTCTAGCATTTTGGATGATACGTCACTAACTACACTTTCCACACAAACTTTTTCTAACCCATCTTGTTTGATTTGACAATAATACAATTCTCTAATCCATTCATTATATCTCCCGACATAGGTGACTGATGGTAACTTTTTACTTATTTCATACGTGTAAAGTATAG